CCACATGTGCCCAGCACTTTCCTTATTTTTTAAATAGTGCCTCAGGATTTTTCCCCTCAAGGCTGACCTGTGGCTACGATTCTCCTACTTAGGACTCCTAAATAGCTGGCCTTGCACACCTTTCTAATCTCCACCTTGGGGGAAGGAGAGTGGGGGAATTTCAGACATAACCCATTTGAAAATGTTTCTACAGCAAAGGCAAAGCTAAGGATTAAAGATAGTTGGAAAAGTAATACTTAGTTTCCTTTCCCCTCAACTCCTTAAAATTTAACATTTACCATGTTTGCATATTATGTTGCTAAAACCACTTAAGATCGCACTGTATATACAACTACTAAAGATAATAAATAAAATAGATTAATAAAAATAAAGCACACTGTAGACATAATACCACTTTATCAAGAACACTTGAGGTTTTATTTTCTTTTAAAAAGGGTATTCTTGGAGCTGGGAAGGTGGCTAATTGGTAGAGTGCTTGCCTTGCATGCATGAAACCTTGGCTTTGATTCCTCAGCACCACATAAGCAGAAAAAGCTGGAAGTAGCACTGTGGCTCAAGTGGGAGTGCTAGCCGTGAGCTGAAGAGCTGAGGGAGACACACACACACATAAAAGGCTATTTTTGAGACTAAGGATATCAGTCCCCAGCACTAGGAGAAAGATCACTCACACACACACACACGCACGCACGCACGCACGCACGCACGCGGAAATTCTTGATGCTAAGATGTCTCCAGCACTAGGAGAAATATATTTGACATTCTTCTATATAATCACAACACTAACAATGTGATACTTACTGATACTTTGCAGATTTTATTCAAATTCTAACAACAGTTTGACTACTATCCTTGGCGAGAAGAGGTGTGTGGAGAAACTTCCACCCTTGTGTCAAAACATGACAATTTTTTTTGCTGTTGTTAAAACAAACAAAGCTTGTGCAGGAACACAGACATGGCATTAACTGCATATAATCTATGGTGACTTGGAGATACAAGACAACATAGTTGACAAGTCTCAGAGTCTGGCTGTTTTTATTTATCTCAGTTTGTTAACTGTAGCTTACTACAAAAGAAAAATGTTTTTCCTGGTTCAGGATTTATTTAAATATAGTTCTATCACTTTCATCTGGAGTAATTGTTTTAATCTGGAATAATTGCTTGGAATCTTGTGATTTTTTTTTTGAAGAAGTATCATTTATTTTATAGCATGGCCCTAATTTTTACCTGCCTGATACTTCCTTAATATCACAACTGGAAGCCAGGTGCCAGTGGCTCACATCTGTAATCCTAGCTACTCAGGAGGCTGAGATCTGTCCTTGTAACTCTTATCTCCAATAAACCACCAGAAAAACTGGAAGTAGCACGGTAGCTCAAGTGGTAGAGGGCTAGCCTTGAGCTGAGGGACAGCGCTCAGGCCCAGAGTTCAAGCCCCACAACCAACAGAATAAAAAAACACCCAACAACAACACAACTAGAGGCTACTTAGGTCTTACAGGTGAGATTAAGTTTAGATCACGCTGCCAGGTTTCTGAATGATCATATGACAATTCTTTTATACTTTGTGAAGACTCATTTTAAGACTAATTTTAGTATAGTACTTAAACAACCACTAGTGCATTTTGCCTGAAATAATTATTACCATGTAATTGCCAAATAGTGATTTGATCATTCTAAACTACTACATTCACCAGGTGGCATACTTCTCTAAGGAAAGGTATCTATCTATACAGAGATTACTGTCTGTCAAATATCACTTTTCTGACATGCCTGGGACCAGAAGTACTTCAAGTATAGGAATATTTTGGATTTCAGAATATTTGCAGACTTTTCATGCTAAGACATGCTAAATTTGGGGAACTCCAAAATCTGAAATTTTATGAGCATCATGTAACAATCAAAAAGTTTACGCTTTTAAAGCATTCAGATTTTTTTTTTTTTGGCCAGTCCTGGGGCTTGAACTCAGGGCCTGTGCACTGTCCCTGAGCGCTTTTTTTCTTTCTTTTGGCCAGTCCTGGGGCTTAAACCCAGGGCCTGAACACTGTCCCTGAGCTGCTTTTTGCTTAAGGCTAACACTCTACCACTTGAGCCACAGCACCACACCACTGGCTTTTTCTGTTTATGTGGTACTGAAGAGTCAAACCCAGGGCTTCATGCAGGTTAGGCAAGTACTTTACCGCTAAGCTACATTCCCAGCCCTATACCCTGAGCGAGCTTCTTTTACTCAAGGATAGCATTCTACCAATTGAGCCACAGCACCACTTCTGGCTTTTGCTGCTTATGTGGTACTGAGGAACTGAACCCAGGGCTTTATGCATGCTAGGCCAGCACTTTACCACTAAGCCACATTCCCAGCCCTCAAATTCTTTTATTAGGCATGTTCAACCTATATATACAGACTTCTAAGCTGTCACTGGATGCCTCAGGTATTAATCCAGTACATCATTTTGCCTAGCAGGGGATCCGTTAAAACTGCCTCCTATGATCTTCTGTCAGGTATTTATCATTCTATAAATACAATTGCTCTTTTTATAATATTAATTTGGAAATAACCTGAAGAGCCATGAATATGAAACATTAAGTCAAGAATGGTATAAAGAAAATGAAAAATGCAAACTCACAAAAACAAATTATTAAGATAAAAGACAGAACATAATTGGGGTTAAGAGTACAGCTTAGATAGACTAACATACACATCTCTATTCAAATAGTTTTCTTCAGAGATTAAAAAAAAAAAAACTAGCTGGGTGTAGGTAGCTCATGCCTATGTACCTATAATTCAAACTACTAAGGAGGCTGAGATTTGAGGATCTCCATTAGGACCCAACCTGGGCAAACTAATCAAAAGACCCCTTATCTCCAATTAACTGGTAAAAAAGCCCAAACTAGAGATGTGGCTGATGTGGTTAAGTACCAGGTATGAGCAAAAAGCTGAATGAGAGCAGGAGGTCCTGAGTTGAAGCCTCAGTATTGGCACAAAACTAAGTAAATAAAGTACTGACAATGCAGAATTCTCTACAACTATGACTTTTAAATTTCTAACTTAGGGGCTGGAAAGGTAGCTCAGTGGTAGAGTGCTTGCCTCCCATGCATGAGGCCCTGGGTTCAATTCCTCAGTACCACATAAACAGAAAAATCCTGAAGTTGTGCTGTGACTCAAATGGTAGAGCGCTAGCCTTGAGCTAAAGAGCTGAGGAACTGTCCCTCAGTTCAAGTCCCATGACCGACCAAAACAAATAAACTTTAAAAAAAAATTTTTTTGGGGGGGGAGTCTGGTCGTGTGGCGTGAACTCTGGGCCTGGGCGCTGTCTCTCAGCTCTGCAGCTCAAGGCTAGCGCTCTACCACTTGAGCCACAGTGCCACTTCTGGCTTTTTTTTTCTGCTTATGTGGTGCTCAGGAATCGAATCCTGGGCCTCATGAATACAAGGCAAATGCTCTACCACTAAGCCACCTTCCCAGCCCCTTTACCATTTTAAGATTAATAGTTTAAAATATAACACATAATGAAAATATATCCTATAAAATTAAATATAATTAGAACATAGTGTAATGTTTATATCTTTTATATGTCTGTGTGTATTTGTGCCGGTCCTAGGGCTAAATTCAGGGCCTGAGTGCTGTCCCTGAGCTTTTTTGTGCTCTACCACTTGAGAACTTTAATTGGAGATAAAGAGTCTCAGGGTAGGCTTCAAACTGCAAATTTTCTATCTCAGCCATCTGAGTAGCTAGGATAACGGACATGAGCCACTACCACCAGCTTAATATTTATAGTCTTACTAAAAATGGATAATCTTACATTTACTTTAAAATAGGTAAAAGTAGTGTTCACTAAAATTCTGTTCAGAGCTGGGTGCCACTGGCTTTTGCTTATTTGGAAGGCTGAGAATGGGAGACTCACCATTTGAGGTCAGCCTGGGTAGGAAAGTTCTCAAAACCTCTTCTACACCACACCTAGATATGTCAAGCACCCATTATCCCAAGGTACTAGGAAGTTTGTTGAGAATGGCAGGGGAGGTGGAAGGGGGAATGTTTGCAATTCCAGGTCCGCAAGGACAGAAAAGGCCAAAAGACAAAAGTCCAAGAGACTATCTCCATGGAGGGAAGTAGACATGATGGTGATTGCCTGTGATCCCAGAAACTACAAAAGATTATCTACAGTAGGCAGATCTTGGCTTAGGGCCATACCCAGCTAGGAGGTAAGACCTTATCTCAAACATAATCAGCAAAACAACTGGGCTGAAAGTATGGCTCAAGTGCTGGGGCACCAGCATAAAAATCATGAAACCAAATTTCAACCTAGGGGGAGGAATAATTTCAAAAACCATTATTTCTTTCATGTCTTGCCTGTAATCAAAGAACTGTAATTAGGTAAGCACAGCTACTCACAGGAAGCTTTTTTTATAATCTGTCCCTTTAAATCTTTAAATACTTTAAATCTTTAAAAACTAATTTTCAGAAAGGTTTTATTTTTTCCCTTTTGAAGTATATTTTTATTTCCTGTGTTCTTTTGTTTTATTTTTTAGATGGGCAAATGAAGTGAGGACACAAATAAGCTTATAGGGTTGGGAGGTAGCTCAGCGGCAAAATATCCTGGGATCCATACCCAGTACCAGGGGCTGGGAAGGTGGCTCAGTGGTAGAGCGCTTGCCTTGCATGCATGAGGTCCTGGGTTTGATTCCTCAGCACCACATATGCAAAAAGAAAAAAAGCCGGAAGTGGCACTGTGGCTCAAGTGGTAGAGCGCCAGCCTTGAGCTGAAGAGCTGAGGGATAGCGCCCAGGCCCAGAGTTCAGGACCCATGACCGGACCCAAAAAAAAAAAAAAACCATACCCAGTACCAAAAAAGAAAAGACAAAACACATACAATTTTAAAAAAAGAGTAAGCTTACAAGCTATAGAACAGTATTTGAATGATTATTAAAAGCACCTAATATAGTTTCTAAAATGGCAGGAACTACATATACATGAAATGTTCATGTAAAAGGATAATATAAACACTTACCTTGTGAGTCGTTTGGGTGGAGGGCGCTCACCAAATTTCCTGGGGGAAAAAAAACAACTTAAGTAAGCTGTTAGTACTATGAATTCTCCCTAAGGACTTGACTTCACCCTTAAAAAAACACAAGGATTCCTCCAGCAATTATCTACATAGAGAAATAACACGCGTAAGCATAGTACACTATGTGAACAGGCCTCACATCCACAGTGAGCCCAGGCCACACAGATGTACTGGGGACAATGGGTCACTGCCATACCTAGTCTTTTAGCAACACAGAGGAACAAAACCCTCTCAGCTCAGGAGGTAGTACAGGGTTTTCAGTGTTCACTGTGTCAGGCATTAGCTATACATTTTTTATATAATGCCTTACTTAATCATGGTAAGACAATTCTACAAAGTCTACATCATCTTAAAGGTATGAAAGGCCAAAGTCACAAATTAAGTAGCAAGCTGAGCTGAAAAAGTCGAATTTTGATAACATGCCCACAGAGTAAGGTCCTGTTAAGGGAGAAACATGATAAGTAAATAGGGCTGGCACAGACTGTGGCCATTATGCCGGCTGGAAGCAGGGGAGAAGAAAAGCATTAGAAGAATGATTCAGGTTGGAATCATAACAGCAAGGAGACTAGCTTAGGTCAAATTCATAACTTGGCATTCATTTGTATAAGTCTAAAGTTAGTCCCATACCTCCCTAGATCTCAGTTTCCTTTTCAATGAAAAGGACACAGTGGTTGTCAAGAGAATTAAATGTGGTAATTAATACACAGAAAACATATAGAACAGTACCTGGAACATAGTAAAATGCTCAATAAATCTTAGTAATTACCTTTTTACTTATGAAAGTTTAAATTAAAAGAACTATATAAAGAAGCTGGGCACCAGTGGCTCACGCCTGCAATTCTAGCTACTCAGGAGATCTGAGGATCATGGTTCAAAGCCAGTCTGGGCAAGAAAGTCCATGAGACTCTTATCTCCAATAAACCACCATAAAACCGGAAGTAGCTCTGTGGCTCAAGTGGTAGAGTGCTAGCCTTGAGCTGAAGAGCTGAGGGATAGCACCCAGGCCCAGAGTTCAAGCCCCACAACTAAAATAAGCAAACAAACAAACAAAAAATCTATATAAAGGAACTCTGGTGTTACTAGAAACAGAGTGTTGGGAGCCAACTATCTCACTGGAACATCTTGAGGCTGTTTCACCTTCTCACCCTGCCCTAAGTAATGACCACCTTTTCACCTTGCCCTAAGCAAGCACCCTGCAGCTGCTTCAGCCAATGAAAAAGCTTCCTTATTCCAAGCATATAAATACCCTTGTGTGAAAAATAAAAATTGGCAGCTTGATCAGAATCCTTGTCTTGCTGTCATTCTTCGTGTCTCTTGTCCCTTCATTCCTTCTGGCTTAGGTTCACCGCCCTCGTTGAAGTCCTGTGGGTCGGGACACAGAGTATGTGCAAAATCTATGGTCATGTGCTAGCCTCTTATTTCCTCAAATAGGAAAGTATGACTGTCTTGAAACATGAAAGCATGGCACTTGAATAAAGAACGAAGGGGTTGATTTATAAACAGCTACGTGATTTGTTCATAAACACTTACAGAATGTGAAAGTTTATTTGAATTATGATTTCTATACCGTATTTGTGGTGTTCCACAAGATTATTAATTTTGGTAATAAAAATCTTAGGACCCTGTTCAAAATTAAATGCAAGTAATGACACTGTGTATGAGTTCATAATTTATAAGCAATGAATATCTATTTCTGAATGTTAGTATTTTCATTAAAATATAGAAAAGTAGCTTTAAATGAAGAGCATAAAAGAGCAAATAATCCAAGTTTTGTAGGCAAAATTACATCTGATTAGACAGTTCATAAAGATCCATAATTTTCCCTTAACAAAAGTACACTTGAAAGAATATCAATAATGCTAGACCACTGTAACAGTTTAAAGTATATGTTGTTGATTCTAGGTTATTAGTAGTGATAAAATTCCAAAGAGAACAGGTTTAAAAGGCAATAAGTTACATCAAAAAATCAAAATGGGCAAAAATATTTGTTGTTGAACAGAACATGGTTATCTTCAAGAAGTGGCTAAGAGCTAGGTGCTGGTAGCTCATACCTGTAATTTTAACTATTCAGGAGGCTGAGATCTGATGATTATGGTCCAAAGCCAACCCAAGCAGGAAAGAGTGTGAGACTGTTAGCTCCAAATAACCACCAGAAAACTGGAAGTGGAGTTGTGGCTCAAAGTGGTAGAGCAAAAGCACAGGAAGAGCACCCAGGCCCTGAGCTCAAGCCAACGAAAAAAGTGGTTAAGAAAGGCCTCTGGGGAGAGCTAGTTTCTGTGATAGTCACGTATGAATACTTACTTGGTGAAAATAAGTTCTATTGCACCTATATAATTTCCATAAGGTATATTATTTTAATTTAGAAATGTATATGCGTATACATGTACATGTGCTTACAAAACGTTAAGGCTTTTAATGCTTGCTTGGACTGAGGGTAAACAAAAGTCCTTTCCTGAACTTAATTCCTATTGTCCTCAAATTTCCTTTTAACATGGAAGTTTAGAAGCTGGCAATTTCTAGTCCTCAGCTCTAGCATTCCAGGATATGTACTTTATATTAAATGAAATATTATAAGAATAGTCAAATAGTAAGTTAAATTTAAGTCCTACACCATTGGACCTCTTTTCCATCTAAATCTGAGTCCAGCCATTCTAATAATCTTCTCTCATTCATATTACTAGGCAGAAAATGAGGACCAATTGTGGTTCTTTCTTTGGCAAACCATATTTTTGGGGGGGTGGGGGAGGAGTTGGTAATGGGGCTTGAACTCTGGGCCTGGCACTGTCCCTCAGCTCAAGGTTAGCACTCTACCACTTGAGCCACAGTGCCAATTCTGTTTTTTTCTGCTTATGTGGTACTGAGGAATTGAACCCAGAGCCTCATGCATGCAAGGCAAGCACTCTACTACTGAGCTACCTTCCTAGCCCCACATAGCATATTTTTAAAGTAAAACTCATTAACTATTCAATGTTGTGTAAACATGCAAGAATTCAGAATATTTCAATTGATTATTTTTAAAAACTGGCTTCCTTTGCCTATTTCACCTAAAACTGACACAAGAGAGTATAGAATGGTGTTAATGTGTTTGCCTGCCAGGTTCTAGTTCCTTTTTTCACTTTAATCATTCCACCCTCATTTAAGTGGCTGTTTAGTAGTTACTGTATCAGGCACTTGACATGGACTACCACAGCAACAAACAAGAAATACAGTCCCTATCTATAGAGCAGATAGGAGACAGGCATTATAGAATAAACTTTGCAAGGAAAGCTTGCCTCTACCCCCACCAATCTTATTAGGTATTATTATTCCCTAATCAGAGAAGAAACCTGCTTAGCAACACATACTGGGAACCTTGGTTTGAAATGTAACTTGGAGTTTCATGTTTATGATTTTCCATACAATCTACTTCCAGGTAGAATTTTTACATTCAAATAGAATTTTACCTCAAGTTCTCTTCTGGTCACTCAAATGTGAACAGGATGACAGACATGAACTCTTATGCTAGGAAAAAAAAGGACTCTAAAACTTTCTATGACATAGCATAGATCTGGGTTGCTATGGGAGGTTGTCAAAAAAAATCTGAAAAGAAACCTTTTATAAATCTTCCCAACTGTTCAACTATTCAATAAGGTTTGAAAAGGTAAAAAGTAAATATTTTTGCTTAGTAGAAAGTGAAAACCCACTTTCTAAAGATATAAGAACACAATCCAGGAACCATACTTTGTTGCATAATATACACACAGACACATGTATAAGCACATGTAACTATCAGAAATTTGGCAATACCTTCCGGAACTGACTACTCCCGCACACAAGACTTAAAATTGTAGTAAAGACTGTCATAGTCTCCTGACTTTAGTGTTTGTAATCATAAATCACAATACTGAAGCACATTTTTAAGTGAAAAAGACTATGAATCTGCATAGACTTAGTTTAATCAAGTTTTTTTTCACTCCTTGCTTCCACCAAATTATGACTGGTCAATTTATTTTTATCTTTATTATTCTGTCAGACCTGGGGCTTAAACTCTGGTCCTGGATGCTGTCCAGTTTTTTGCGCTCAAGGCTAGTGCTCTACCACGTGCGCTACAGCTCCATTTCTGGTCCTTTTTTTTTTTGGGGGGGGGGGGGTTCCTGGCTTTCCTGCTAGGGCTGGCTTAAAACTGCGACCCTCAGATCTCAGCCTCTTTTTAAGCAGCTATGATACTGCTATAAAGTTTAATGTAAGGTAGTCCCCAGCTTATAATAGTCCAACGTGAGATTTTTTTTTCAACTGTATAATGACTCATTCTTCTTTTCTCTAGCTAGCAATATACTGTAATATTCTCTTGAGATCCTGGGCAGTGTCTGTAAACTACAGCTTCGAGTTAGCTTATGGGATCATGAGACTAACCAACCAAGACTTTACAGTGTACTCACTGTACACTTGCTTAGCATGCATGAAACCTTCGATGTGATTCCTCAGCACCACATAAGCAGAAAAAGCTGGAAGTGGCATTGTGGCTCAAGTGGTAGAGTGCTAGCCTTGAGCAAAAGCTCAGGGACAGTGGGCAGGCTGTGAGTTCAAGCCCCAGAATTGGCAAAAAAAAAAAAAAAGGTACTAATGTTTGAACTTAGAAGGTCTCAGGCTGGCTTGCTTGCCAGGTTTGTAGATTGTCTGGTTACTTTGGAGATAAAGCCTCACAGACTTTTCTGCCCTACTGGTTTACAGCAGTGATCTTCCAGATCTCAAGTCTTTGGAGTATATCGAGGATTACAGGTATAAGCCACCAGCCTCTAGCTATAATCACTTCCAACTTGAGGTATTTTCATCTTAATATGTAGGGTTAACCACAAGATAATCCCTATGTTGTTGAGAGGCATTTATATTTAAATTCATCAGTGGATCTGTCATTATTTTCCTTTTAAACAACAGATACACCGGAGTATTTATGGAGATAACATAAGGCCAAATGCACAAAGGAAAGACTATGATTCAAAGTT